TTAAGAAATGAAAAAATAAAAAACACTCAAAACACACATCCTGAAATACCATTCAAAAGCCCAAGAGTGAGCAGACCATGAGGATGTCACAGGCAAGATCAGTACCAGCCTGAACTTTTTGGCAGGCTGAGCAGATCTGGGATCTGTGGGCCATGGTGCTTTGATGTTTCCGTGCAAAGGGACTGACTGGGTGTGGTGCACAAAAGGATTTGTGGATGCTGACCCCTTGCTGTGCAATGCAGATGGTGTGAAGTACAGATGTGCTTAGAAAATTCACTTGCCCATGGCAATGTGGGGCTGAACACTAGTAGATGCCATTTACTCGATGGTTACTAAGTTCCAGGCACTGGGCTTTTCAGAGATAGCATCTCATGGGATCCTCCCAGACCCCTCTGAGACAGGAGCTCTCATTACCCCATTCAATAGAAGCCAATGCTCAGAGAGATTAAGGAAACAGGGTTGGCACTTATGACCAATGCTGCTGCCCTGCCATTCTTTAGCAAAGACAGAACATTTTACTCAAAGACACCATTAATCTTGACCATGTCTGTGTAACAAGGACGTAATTTCCGAGATGATTGTTATTCTTGGGCGCATCCCACCTACATCTTGGGATGCTAATTGTCCCTCGAAGAATTTTGCCTCAGTGGGACAGGCAGATGTTGAGTTACCCAGATGTGCCCACCCAGTTCTCTCCTGCCAGCTGGCTGGACAAACACGATCTTACTTTCTGCACCCCATTGCTTTCCACCTTTCCAGGCTCCTAGCAAACCCAGGCCCCACCCCAGATTTTATGATGTCTGTATGCGTAGGACTGCAAAAAAAATATCTTCTACCAAAATGGGGAGGAACAAAACTTAATAAGCAGATTTCCAGAGTGAAAAGATGTAACCCCTGGCTACAAAACAAAGCAGTTCCCCTCTGAGCATCTGAAACTCGTGATTCAGATGAGTCCACATGGCTTACGGTCCTTCCCGCTAGCGCCGGAGGTGGCTGTGAGGAGGGAGAGAAGGAGAAAGACTCCGTCTGCAGCCTCAAACGTGGGGCTGGGGGAGAAGCGTTGCCCTCCAGCTCTGGCAAGGACAGGCCTAGGGAAGTGAGTGCCCATGGGTCACACAGGAGCTGAAAGTGCCCTTGCTCTGTGCTTTGAGGTGGCGAGTGGTGAAGATGAGGCACATCCTGGCCATCGCTGGGATGGACGGCAATAGCAGAAGTCAAGGGAGCAAGGGCTGTGGAATCACATAGGGAAACTGAGGCCCAGGCTGGGGACCAAACTCTTACTTCAGTGCTCTTTCCACAACACCATTGCCTGAGTGCAGATAGCCATGGGACAGCCACTTGCTGTCCCCTGGGGGCAGCATGGGAAGTTCATCCACAGGATCCTTGGGCATCACATACAATGTTGTTCCGGCTGCCCCACAAACCTGCCTAGCAGTGCCCTGAATTGGGTGTACAGCTAGCCCATGGGGCCCTTCACATTCTGTCCTGGTTCCAGCTACATCTGATTGTTTCTGCCTCCTTCATCATCAGGGGGAAAAAGGTGCCATTGGGATGCCTGGACGTGTGGTGAGTTGGCCCGTTTGTACCTGCTTGGTGGCCACTGCTTGCTTCTGCTCGCTGTTCTGTCCACAAAACCATGGCACGGTGCTATCTGCCCCAGCCTCAAGGAGGGAGCCCACACTCTCCTTCCCCTTAGTCTGCTTCAGGGAGGGACAGGGAAGGAGAAGAGAAGGTTTAGTTCTAGTATTTCAGACCTCACAACATGGCTTTACTCTGCAGAGAGCTGCCACAGCAAAGGAAAAATCCAAGAAAACTGCAAGAACAAAGCTCTTTGATGATCACCCAGAGGTGATGGGCTGAGGCCTGAGCTTGACATCGGGAGGATGCCCACTCCACCCCGCAAGGCTGGCAGCTCCCTTTCAGATTGATAGCTGCTCCTGCAGCCATCCCTCGGGGGAGTCAGAGGTCCAGGAGGTGTCTTCTGTAGAAGATGCTGTAGACAGGGCTTGGCGCCAGCTGGTGCCACCAGATCCTGAGAGTGAGAACACTGAATATTTCCAGCTGAAAAATGAAGATGGAGAAAGGGACACAAGAGTGTGTGATAGGGACAGTGTTTCCCAGAAATGGGAGTGCTGGCAGCAGGCCCTGAGAGCCTGACAGTGGGATTATGACCTCCAAGGGCTAGAAAGGCAGCCCATGGGCAGTGACAGCCACACACTGGCCTCACCACTACCTGGTCTAGGATGAGGCCAGGCTAGTCTCCCTGTCTGGTGCCTACCTTCCCACCAGCCTTCGGCCCCTGCCTCCATCCTGGCTTCCCTGCCCGGTGACCACCTTCATTGTCATTCTGGCTTCCAGCATCTCACCTCCGGCTGGGAGGAGCCTTAGGCACGGGGCTGGCATCCTATGTGAATGCCTGGTGTGAGCATGTGGTGCTCAGAGACAGAGAAGGGCATCCAAGTGAAGCTAGCACTTGTGGGCATTCACCGCACGCTGGGCGCTGTGCTGAGAGCCATGTAGTCATTAGCTGGTTCAGTCCTCTCAAGAACTACACGAGGCAGGCACAGTTTCCACCCCAGTTTTTCAGATAAGGAAACTGAGGCTCAGAAGTTAAAGGAGACCACATAGCCAGAAAATAGCTTTTAGTCCAGATAGCCAGACTCCAAACCCATGCTCTCAACCCTGGCAGCATCATTCCCAATGGACCTCCCATTCCCTCTGGCAACTAACTCTAAGGATGGTCTGGGACATTTCAGAGTTCAGGACAAGTGTCCCATGTCACAGAGCTTGGAGCTCCCCAGGGCCCACCCAAGGCCTGTCTTCAGGGCCTGGAGCCTGGGAGCCCTGGGCCATGCCACCCAAAGCTCTCCCACCACCTCCCAGACCAGAGCACTATGGGGCCTGGCTCTGTCACTTTGCTTCAGTTCTCTTAACTCCAGACCTTGAGTCCAAGCAGTTGCAGGGTTCTGTATGAAGCAGAGAAACTTTACGCAGCTGCGCTTTCCCGAGGCTGCACACTTCCACCACCGCCCTCCGAAACCCTGAGTAGTGGATGGGGGTACACACAAGGTGGGGGGAGATGGGTCTTGTACCCAAGCCAACTGTGGCACCCCAAGCCCTTGTCCCCAATAGGTAAGATTTCAGGAGTCTCTGGGAAGGCCGCAAAATGCTAGGTGGCCCTCTCTGCCTCCCTACTCCTGCCTTCCTTGGGCCTGTGGACATCACAGGAAGTGCCCACCACAGCAGTGGGGGAAGAGGAAGATAGGCGGGTGTCCCTGAGCTTCGTTCCGGATGAGCCTATTTTTAAGCCACTTTGGGGCTTTCATGCTACTGGTGCTATTTTACATGTGACAATGGGCCCATTTGGCTGCCCAGTAGGGCACCTGGCAAGGCCTGGGGTGGCCAATGAGTGTGAAATGCCTGGATCAGTCCTGTGGTTCACCAGAGGTGGCGCCACTGACCTGTTGGGAGCAGGGTGCATTGGGGCTGTCCATCAGCTGGTCACTGTGGTTTCAAGGGACCCTTAGCCAATACCCAGTTTCCTCTGCATTGCTGACCCATGCGCCACCCTTCCAATTGTGTGTGTCCCGCCTCTGTCCTCCATGTCTCTCCATGCCAGGTCTCTCTACCATGCCTGGCCAGTCCTAATGACACTGGGCTTGCCCAGCTTGTGAAGCCCTGTACTTGGTGCTCAGCTGGACCTTCGGACCTCCTAGATGCCACTGTCACAACACGATCCCTGGGAAATTCTCCCCCATCCCCACCACCACCATGGCTCCAGCCAGCTGGGACCATGGCTTCTGGGGCAGATTTCCTGACCTAGGAGGGGTCCCACTCTCTCTGTCTTCCACCCCCATCACACACAGAGGCACGCCTTGGCACGAGCCTCTTGCACCCTGGCCGCTATTTCCCTCTCAGTTATCTGGAGCGGCTGGCTTAGGCCCGCTGCACAGGTCAAGGCAATAACTTTCCACATGCTGTGCTTGTTGGACATGGGACCTGTCATGTGTCAGCATCTGCGTTTTGTTTTGTTTCTTATTTCACAGTGATTTGTTTGGTCATCGTGCCATGAAATGGATTCCTCTGTGGCTGCCTCTCACTCATCCTTTCTTTGTTCTCTCCCTCCCTCTCTGCTCCCTCTCCCTGCATTGCATGTGGCTGTCCCAGGGAGTAAAGGGCCAACCAGGAGAGAAGGTGAGTCCGCCCTTCCCCTCTGCCCTTCACCCAGCCTCCTCTTCCAGGATGGGCTCTTGGTGGGGAGCCTTTCAGGTCTCCTCTGCCACAAAGGCCCCAGCAGAGGGTGCTGGCTGGGCCTGCTCTGCCCTCTTATGGCCCAGTCTCCTAACAGCTTCCACATCATGGGCCCCCTCCCGGGGTCTTGGAGTCCTGGGCTCTGGTCTCCCCATCTTCAGCTGGTTCTCCCCCACTGCAGCTAGCCTCACTGCTCTGATCCCTAAGGCAAGGAAAGCAGAGCTGGCAGGGCCTACGGAGCCCCTAGGAAACCAGAAGGCCAGGCCACTAGCCTGACACATCAAGGGTTTCTTGAGAGATTCCAGAGCTCGGTGTATCTTAGCAGCTCCTTTTACAGATGAGGAAACTCAATCTGAGGCCCAGGGAAGGGCTGGGGCTTGCCCAAGGTCCTATAGCAACATGGCAAGCTGGCATTAGAAGCCAGACCTCCTTGCCTGGGCCTTGCCATATTTCTACAGTAGACTCTTCTGTCTCCAAAATAATAACCACAACAATGAGTATACAAGCTACCATGTATTAATCACAAACTGTAGCAGGCAGAGTTTTAAGTGTTTTGCCTCTGTTTTCTCAATTAGCACTGACAGTCTTTCCAGGGAAGCTTTAATATTCCTCTTTCCATGAGACACAGAGAGGAAAAGTCATATGCCCAAGATCACACAGCTAGACAGTGGCAGAGCTGGAGAGGAGCCCCAGTGTAGTGGACTCCAAGGTCAGAGCTCTAACGACCACGCTATGCTGTCCTCCAAATGGAATGAGGTTATTAGCCCCACCCAGCAAGGAGCTGAACTGTCCAGGAGAAAAGGCACAACCCCTTCCCTGGATGAGGCATTATTTCAAGCATTATACATTATTCTTGAAATGTTCACATCTGCCCTGTGAGACAGGTGCATGGATTAGCCCTGATACAGATAAGGAGGCAGGCATCGGGAAGTTAAGTAGTTTGCCCAAGGTCACACAGCTGGCAGGGACCAGAGCTGGGCTTTGATTCCTCTTAACCACTTAACTATATCACCTACTGTAAAGCAGTATTATATTGTAGCAATGGCATAGTTACTGATTTGAAGCCACCCTTCACCTGGGTGTGAGGTATGACACTTTACAAAATGCATTTCCGCAGAGCAGCTCTGAGCATCCCTATTCACAGAGGAGGTTATATGGCTTACAGCCGTTCCAGGACTTGCCTGGCAGAGCAAGACCTTGGGCTCAGCCCCTAGGCTTCTCCCCTGCCCTGCCCGCCTCTGTTGGGGGTGGGGGGCTCTGCTGCTGGATGGAGCAGGCGTCCTGCTGGGCAGTCCCAGCCCTTCACCTCCACCCTCCATGTACATCCTTCTCCCTCCTGCTGTCTCCCCAGCACACATGCACACACACCCGTGAGCACACACATGCTATTTATCTAGCGAGCTCAGCCACGCCTGATGACACTTTGCTCTCCTGGCCCAGCAGCAGCAGCGGCATTGCCTCCCACCCTCTCAGAGCTGAAATTCTGCCCCAGACTTACTCCCTCATGTCATTCTCAGTCCAGGACTAGGAAATTCCAGACAGCCCAACCTTTTAGGCCCAGGGCTGAGGGGTCCACACAGCAGGTGTGGGTCTCATGTCCCCATACTCAGGGCAAGTCACTGTTCACCAGTTACAGGGTGTGCAGGCAGAAGGCTATTTGGGCATGGGGGCAGGAAGAGGGCTGAGGGAGGTTGGAAAGAGTCCTGAGCAGGGCATGGTGTAAGCCCTCAGGGTCTGGGGAACCATTGCTAAGTCTTCCCTCCCTCTCGTGTTTCCCTCTTACCTGCCACGCCAATGGATCCTGTTCTCACCACCCGCCTGGCCTGGGGTCCTACCCTCCTGCCCCCGATCTCACATCCTGTGCCCTTGCTCACCCCTTTTATCCCCTCCTTCCTGTTGCTCCCCTGCCCTTCCCAGCCCTTCTGAAATGCTTCCTCCAAGCCCGTCTGCACGTCCTCTGCCCCGATTCCGTCTGGCCTCCCTCCTGTCCTGTCCCCCACACCCACCAGCCCCTTCCCTTTTGTTCTTCTGTGCCCCCCGCCCCACACTCCCTCTCCACTCTCTTCCCACAGGGGGCCCCCGGAGATGCTGGGCTGTCCATCATCGGTCCCCGAGGCCCCCCTGTAAGTTGTTTTTGCTATTCTTCAGGGTGCAGTGGGGTGGGCGAGTTGAGGAAAAGGGCTTTGGGGAAGGATGAGGGAGAGCAAGTCCGGCTGTGCCTCTGGGTGTGGCAGCCACAGCATGTGATGTGGTCAGCCCAACCAGGCCTCAGTGACGATGTGGATGTTAAAGAAAGTGGCCTGACTAAATATACCTAAATTACAGCCTCTCGAGTGGCTTCGGAGGGCCTACCCTCTAGCCACATGGCGGCAGTGGCTGGGAGGCAGCCCCGCTGTTTACAACAGAGGGAGAAAGTGCCACTGCTCGCTGTCAGGCGTTCCTGCTTTCCCAAGATAAGCCTTTGTTTCTGGAAGCCCAAGAAGCAGATGCTGAATTGGGGTTCGCTGACCCAGGTGCCCACTGTTGGTCTCGCTGGAAGCCCAGACACCCTGCACCCTCAAAGGCTCCTTACTGTGTACATCACTGGGTCCCAGTGACCAGGAGCTTGGGGAGACCAATGACACCTCCCTCAGATGTGCTTCCTTTGGGCTGAAAATGGGCGATGAAGCCGGCAAGACACCTGGGCTAGGCCTGTTTTTCCCAGAGTGCCCAAATCACCAAACTTCAGGGTGGAAAGGATGCCAGTGATGGTCTAATGTAGCCCTCTCAGAAGGGGAAACCGAGGTCCAGAAAGGGGTAGGGGCTTGTCCAGGTCTGCTGTGTAGAGGCTGGGGCAAGATTAGAACCCAGGAACCCTAGCACCTGGCCTCCACATAGCAGAGGCCGCTGGCTGTGTGTTCTACGGCGCACTTTCCTAACCAGCCATGCACGGAGGAGGGTGGGAAGCAGACTGAGGCTAGCCCAGCGATGGATAAAACCTAGCCTTCCACAGCAAGAGCAGATGGAAGCAGGAGCCTCTCCTACCCACAACCAAGGGAGAAATAAGTGTCAGTGAACAATTTGCTGAGTTATGTCCAAGGGAGGGGGCTGCAGTGAGCCAGGAAGGGGCTGTGACCAGTGCCCAGGGCCCATGTGAAAAGGCAAGAGTGAGGCAGGCCAGCCAGGCTGGCAGACAGGTCAGGTCCGGGCTGGCAGACACAGCCTTCTCAGCAAGGTTTTCTTCCAGGCTCAGACCATAATAAGGACTGACCATCTAGCATTTATTCAGTAGCAAGTTGTACACTAAGATTTTTACTCTTATTAACTCACATAATCCTCATAAGAACCCTTGAGGGACTATTATCATCTCCACTTTACAGATGAGGAAACTGAGGCACAGAGAGTTTTCATGGCTTGCCTAAAGTCATGGGGATGGAGTGTGGCCACACCGGGAAGCTGATCACCCATCCAGGCCATGTGGCTCCAGAGTCTGTCCTCTGAACTCTGCTGCTGTGATGGGTTTGTCAAGCTCAGCGTCACTGTCAGATGTGCTGGGCTCTCACTATGGCTGCCCTGATGGGCTTTGAGCCTCCTGTGTACTGGGAAGACACAGCACAGATGCTTTGAGCCCACTTGTTTCTGATGACAGTAGCCATGGGAAGGTCATAAAGAAAGGAGATGATGGTTCCCGGGGCTCTAGTATCAAGGATCGAGCCTGGGGTGGGCCTGTCAGGAGGCCAGGGGAGTCACACAGAACAGCTACCTACCCTTTGGCTGCCATCTCTGTCTGCCTCTGGTGTGACTACCGATGTTCTGTTGTGTGGCCGCTGGGCCTCTAACACCACTTCAGCAAATCATGTCAACCGTCTACCAAAAAGTTGTTGAAAAGTTTCTGCTGCTGGAGATGTGCTCGGGGCAGTGGTCTGCCTCAGCCCCTGCTGGCTTTTGTCCAACATGCACAGGCCAAAGCAGAAACATTCCTACCACACTGGATTCTATCTGGTGGTGAAAACTACCTTCTATTCAGTAACAATGATGACTCCCATCTCCTGGGCATCTATCATTACTAGGTCTCCTTTGGTCTTCCCAACTTAGCTGTGAGGTGCTCCTACCAGCCTCTTCTACAGAGAAAGAAGCTAAAGGTTTTCTGACTCACCTGTGATCACCCAGCTAATAAGTGGTAGAGCTTTGGTTTGGCCAAGTGGCCTCATTGCAAAGCCTGCATTCTTGCCCCAACGTCCCCTTCCATTCTTGAAGCTCTACTGTTTAAAGAGAATATTTATAGGCCAGATGCGGTGGCTCACTCCTGTAATCCCAGCACTCTGGGAGGCCAAGGTGGGTGGATCGTTTGAACTTAGGAGTTTGAGCCCAGCCTGAGCAAAAGCAAGATCCCATCTCTACTAAAAATAGAAAAAATAGCCAGGGATCATCGATGTGGGCACCTATGGTCCCAGCTACTCAAGAGGCTGAGGCAGGAGGATGGCTCGAACCCAGGAGTTAGAAGTTGCTGTGAGCTATGCTGATACCATAGTACCCTAGCCTGGGCAACAGAGTGAGACTCTGTCTCATAATGAATAAATACACGCATAAAATAAAATGAAAAGGACATTTTACTTCAGGAAAAAAATAATTCTTCCCGTAGGTGCTGCCTGGGTTGACACTTGGAAAGGTTTCATAGCACTGAGAGTCTTGACTGAGCCCCGCATCCTCTGATTTGTCCCAGTCAACCCCATGGCTCAGGACACCCCTGTTGAGTCCCCACTGGACAGCAGGGGAGACCCCCTTAGCTCCTCTCAGCAAGCCATCCTGAGCTGGTAGGATCAGGGGACTAGGGTGGGGAGACAAAGGCTTCATTTGTCCTTTAAGAGTGGAGGTCAAATGAGTGCCCTTGGCACCTGGGGCTGGTGGGGAACATGTGGCTTTCCACTCAGCCAAGAAGGGCCTAGAATAAATGTTGCTAATAAAAACCAGCCTTGCTGCTCACAGAGGCCCCCTGTATTCCTTCTTAGAAATTGATAAATGGTCTGAGCAAAGTGGGAACCATCCAAGCACTCTGGAGAAGGAGTGCTCACATTCCAGGGAAGAGGAAGCAAGTTGGAACAGAGTGTCTGGGCATGTTGACTTTTAAGGGAGCCCCCATTAAAGCAAGGGGGAGGCTGTTCCAGCCCAGCAGGCACTAGGCAAGGTATCTGTGGGTGCCTAGGAAGTGCCCCATTTCAAAGGGAGCTCATTCCCTCCCTGAGCTCCTTCCTATTTCTCTGCAGGGGCCAGAATAGCTGGATTTACTGCCTCATCCACAAGAAGCCACCCCCTGCCCAGGTAGACACACCTATTGAGTGGGTCTCAATTCACTCTATTCAAAGTTGTCAGGAACCCAACACATGCTAGATGCTGGATAGACATAGAAACCCACCCACGGCCTGCTTACCCCTCCAGGCACATGATCTAGTGAGAGAGACCAGCAATAACATAGTCCATTACAGTAAGTGCTAAGGCAGGGGATGGTCAGGGAGCTATGGAACTCAAGGGAGGCACTGGACTTGGGGTGAGGGAGGCAGGCAGAGAAGGGACAACTAAATTACAGTTGAGGACCTGTGAAGAGCCCAAAAGCTGTGTACAGGGGTTGGCCTTTCTGCCCAGGACTTGAAGAGCCCTCAGGTCATATTGGGCTGATGAAAGACATGATCAAATTTGCAGTTTAATAAGGTCACCTGAGCCCCCCTGCTCCAGTGCAGAGCTTATTAGAAGAGGCTGCAGGTGGGGGTCCTGACTGGAAGCACTTATAGTAACCAGGGCCTGGACTAGAGCAGAGTGCTGGGGCTGGGTAGGAGAGGTAGAGACTGTGAGATAACTTGTGGGTGGAATTGATGAGATTTTCGTGATGATAGAAATGGTTGAGGGAGAAGCAAGAGCTCAAGACGACTCTGCATTTCTGACTTGAGTACAGAGTGCTCTTCCCCAGGAGGAAGATCAGACTTTGCCAGCAGAGATAGCTAAATTTGAGCATGATGAGTTTGAGATGTCTTTGTAATGTCCAGGGGGAGCTATCTGTCTGCTGAGGGTCAGCATAGGTGTGCCAAAGCTACCAAGAGTGGACTGTGCATGCCTTCTCCCAACTGTGTTCAGTGACCTCACATTGGTAGCTTGAGATCAGCTACAGGGAGAGAATTTACACCACAGACATTGGCAAGTGCTGTACAAAGCAGTACTCTGCCCCCATCTGCTCCCCACCCAGCCAGGGATGACACGTTGACCAGCACAGGGTTTTGTGAGTGAGAAAAGCAAACGAGGACAGCTCTGGACAGATATACAGCTGACCCTCTTCCAGTCATCAATAGGAGGGCAGAGAGATGGTCTCTTTCCAGCCAGAACTTCTGTTCTGTGTTATCTAACCCTACGTACATGCAGGTAGAAGGAAGATGGGGAGGAGGCCAAGGTAGGCTTATTTCTCTCATTTTTATATAGAGGGATGTAATATTCATCCATAAGTTAATTAAAAAATAAATCTACTAACTATAAGTTGAATGTGATTCTAATCCTACTGTGTTTTTGATGAGGTTGGGAGTCCAACACAATAATATTAAATTGTACTTGAGAAAAATAAGCTCACAAGAATGTCAGGAAAATTCTGAAAAACAGAGTGAGGAGGAGACTAGTTGCCCTACTCGATATCAACATGTACTATGAAAACCGAGAATCAAAACAAACTAATGAACAGAACAGAAGGAGGAGGCCAGAAATAAGGCCAAATGCCTGTGGGCATTTGGTACATGATAAAGGCTACACTAGGAAGAGAGAGATAGATGGTCCAGGAAACGATGCTGGGGCAACTGACAAGCCCTTCCTTAAAAGTAAATGGAAAGATGTTTTTTTCAAAGCTAAATTTCCACCCTCCTCATTATATCAGGATAAATTCCAAATGAATAAAATCCTTAGATATAAAATGTGGAACCATGAAATATTAAACTGCAAGGACAAAAGATGAGTGCATGTTTTATAATTCTGAACCAAGGACGGACTTTTTGAAACGTGACATAAAACCCAAAAGCCTGAGGAAACCCAAAAGCCATAGGAAAAGTTCACATTTGTCGCCATAAATGTAAAACTTCTATCTGACCGAAAATATGCTAGAAAGGAAATCAAACACAAATGCCAAATTGGAAGGAATATTTACTACCTATAGGACTGTCAAAGAATTATTGTGCTTGACAAAGAGCTTTATTGAAAGCAGCAAGAAAAAAAACCGTTTAGTAGAAAATATTGGTAAAGAGTACAAATAGGCAGTTTACCAATAAGAACAGCCAATAAACATAGGAAAAGATGTTTAACCTCAGGATATAATTGAAGACATTTAATTAAAATCCAGTTCCAAGTTTCCCTAAGTGCCTTCTCCGGGCCCGGCCTCTCTGGGAAGTAGTTTCCATTTGGTCCATGACAACATTCTTCCCAAGATCCCCCCAAAAAGCCTTGGTTAGCCTTGGATTTGGCCCTAGGTTGGAGAGATGCATCCTGCTACCAGGACAGGCTCTGTAATTAGCAAACCGTGTGATTATCCCTACCACATAAATATTGTCCCTAGTGGGGCTTGAAGATGTTTCTTGGAATCCTCTGCTCCTGACCTTTTCTTCAGGCCTCTAAGCGTTCACAGTAGTTTACAGAAAGTTTACACTGGAAGCTTTTGGAGATTACATCGCACAGTTTCCAGGTTTCTCCTTAGTGCTATTCTTAGCGTCACTTGCCCTTGACAGGAGAAGAGCCGAGGGCCTTTCCAATATTTGAGTGGCATCTCCTTCTCTTTGCCCTTCTGGATGCCTGTCGCCAGCCCACCCTGAGCCTGCAACAGACTCCGGCTCACTCCCTGACAGCAGGGTCCCCATCCCACCCAGCCAGAGGGGCTGCCATGTTCTCTAAACACAGACTGTTGGGCATGCAGGTCCATGGTTTCAAAGAGGACCCAGCAGCCTGGAGACATTTCAGGGTCACAGCAGATGGATCTAGAGCAGTGTTTTCCAACCTTTTTTTTATCTCATGGCACACTTGAACCTATAGTTAAATTTCTGCAGCACACTTAAATGATGTTGATCAAAAAGAGAAGAGTAACGAAAAGAATATACTTACTTTGCTTTGAGCTTCTTTCAAAAATAACTAATGATGTTTAAAATTTTTGCAGCACACTAATATCCCCTCACGGCACATCAGTGTGAAAGTCACTGATACAGAGAAACCTTCCTCTGCATAGGATCTGTTTCCATAACTACTGCCTGACAAGGACAAACCTTCACTGGCCTCGAGATATACTGAGTACAAAAGCAAATCTGCTTGATTCTGGAGCTTCTCTGTTCAGTTCAATTCAACACCCAGTGGTTGCAGCTACCATTTCAATAGGCTTTACAAGCCTAACTGAGTATAATTCAATGACTGTGAGGTTATACACATATGAGGTCATCCTCATTCTATAGATGAGGAAATCCGAGGCTCAGGGAGGTTAGGCAACTTGCTCAGAGTCACGCAGCCACTGCTGGTGGAGGCAAAATTAGAACTTAGTCTGCCAGACTCAAAAGCCCATGGTTAGGAAGCGTTGTGGCCATCTTGGCCAAGAGAGAGCCAATGCTGAGAGCCAAACAAGTATGTCCAGCGAAAGGTATGTGAGCCAGCATCCCTGGACAGTGTAGGGGAAAGATGAGGCAGAAAAGGAGCAAGCATAGTAGATTCAGGGCAAGACTGGGGGTGGGCTTGAATGATAGGTGAGAGGAAAGGAGCCCTTGCTGGTTCTTGAGCAGGGGAGTGACAACACTCAGGTGTCTTTGCTCTCCATTACCCTTGCCCTCCTGGTCATCCCTCCCCAGCCCTGGATCTTCACAGACTCATGCTTCTTCTAACCTCAGCACATCTCTTTGGTCCTGAGTCTTGATCACAAACCACCGGGCTGGAACTTGTGCTACTTCTAGTCTCCAGCCTGAATATCTGCCTACACTGTGCTCTCCTCCTCCTGAAAAGTGGGCATGCATTGCTCTGCATCCCGTGAAGATTGGGGGATCCAGAGGTCACCCAACCGCTAAGAGAAGCGTGCTGGCCAGGTTGAGAGAAGCAATCTGACCTATTCTAGCCTGAAAACATACATTTCAAAGGTCAAGTTCTGCTATCTGTTGATATCCAAACCATCCTTAGATAAGTGGCCGTGAGCAATGACTATGTAAATAAAAAAGGACTTAGAAGAGAGGACCTCAGCCCAGGAGGCCAGTGTGCTGCAAGCCAAGTCCTGCTGTCCTCACTGCCCCATCTGTCTGTTTACAAGCAAAGCAGCCACAGCAGTGAGGTGTTCTCCAGGGGCTGCTTCCTAGAAGTTGACCCGAAGGATGCTGCCCCCTCCTTTTCTTTCCCCACACCCTGTTTCCACAGGAGATTTCTGATAACGTTCCATTTCCATCTTTCTCCATCCTCCCTCTCCACCAGCTCCCCATGAGAGTATCCCCTTGTGGACAGTGACACAGGAGTGGGAGGGATGGGAGCTAAGATGAGCCAGGGGACTAGGGATTAGCTTCATCTCCTCACTCATCCTCACTGCCTGCCTGTTCTTTTCAGGGTCAGCCAGGTACTCGAGGTTTTCCTGGATTTCCGGTAAGTGGGGAAGACTGAGGCTAGCTGTGTCCCAGGTGGTCTCTGAGCCTGGTTGGGTTAAACTTTATTTGAGCCCTGACACCACTTCTTCCAAACCCTGGTCATTAAGGACCTGCTTCTGTAACCGTTCATGGACAGCAACCCAGGAGAGTAGCTTAGAGCTGGGCTCATGGTTCATGAAATAAATACACAAATGAGAGGCAGTGGGCAAAAGTACCAGGAGAGTGAAGTCACAGGCTGATAAATCCCAGCATGACCCCAGGATGTGGCAGCTCAACCTCCAACCTGGCTTTGAGAGGAGGTCCACCATGGGGATGGAGGGGCAGGAGGTGATGGGTAGGCTTCTGTGTGGCCACTGACCCCTGCTTATGGGCCCTAGGACAGGTTCTGAGAGGCAGAACCTGGGGAGTGGCTGGTTCCCTTTTTATCCAGGCCTCCTTGCCAGCCAGCCCTGGCTTCCTAGGAACATGCCACTCAATTCCGGCCTGTGATAAGGAGGATGTCTTTGATATCAGTGGTGACACCACCCATTGGGTTCTGCCTTGTGCCCAGCACCTGGCATGTGACATTTTATTCCCTCCTCACAAAGACCCTTCATGGAAGGCTATTACTCTCAGCCCCATCTTAGGAAATTGAGGCTTAGTCTGACCCATGGTCACATAACCAGTAAGTCATCAAACAGGGCTTTGAACTATAATTTGTTGGAATGCAGAACCTGTGCTCCTCTTTGGCAGGAGGCCTGTGATGCTTGGTCTTTACATCTGGCCTTTCTGGTTTCAGGGTCCCATTGGACTGGACGGCAAACCGGTAAGTGGGCCCTCTCTCACGCTGGGGGTCCTGCACCCCTGGGTCTCTATGGTCCTTCTGCAAAATCCTGACTCCTTGGAAAATGCATTGCTTAGAAGGAAAATTCCTGAGGCAGAAGCTTGTTAAGAGAAGGAAGGGGAGGGGGCCATTTGAGTCCCTGGTCCCAGTGAGGTTCCCCAGAACAAAAGTCCCCAGCTGCTAAGCTGGGCTCGGGTTGTCTGGAGATGCTGGTGCATGGTGATTCTGTTGGGGCACATGAGGCTGGGAGACAGCTGGGAGGCAGCAAGTGAGAGCTGAACTGGCTGGGTCCAGAGAGCCTGGGCGCGTGGGCACACACTAGCCCTGGCTCCCTAGCTCCTATGTGTCTCCCGTGGCCTTCCCTGGTCAAGACCCCCCCAAGTGCCCAAATCCACAAGGAGACCACTTTCCACCTCAGCTCTTCTCCTGTTCATTTTAGTCCTCTGGACTTGGTCCCCCAGCACAAAGTTCACGGGGAAGGAGGGCCCTCCCCACTCTGAGGAAGGAGTGAGCTGAAAGGGGCTTGAGCCCTCCAAAGCCCTCACAGATGCCCCCACATGAAGGCATCAGGTAGTATGATGCGGCCCCACCCATGGCTGAGCCTGGCCCCATTCACCTCTTGCAGATGAGCAGCCCAGATGCCCATCTGCTCATTCCCCCATTGTAAGCAGCCAGCTAAGCACAGCCCAGGGGCCCTGATGATTGTGTCCACTCATGTCACAGGACCAGGAGTTCCCCAAAGCCATCCTGGGCACATTAGCAGAATGAGGCCTGGGGTCCAGGGAGACCACTCCCCACTCTCCTCTGCAGACTGGGCAGCCGCCAGAAAGGCCCAGCAAAGGACTGTGGGAAAATGACCAAATGACCTCCCCTGAGTCAGCGGGTTAGGGACTGGGTGGACAAGTGAGTGACAGCATGGAATGACCATGTGAGAAAGGCAACAGGTGTAACAGGAGTATGGCGGGAGGGATGCATGGGGCAGGCAGGGTGGGCTTCCAGGCTGTAGTGTTCCTGGTACTCACCCTCTTCTCCTTCCAGGGCCACCCGGGACCAAAGGGGGAGATGGTAAGACCCCAGCTTTCCTGCCTTCCTGAGACAGGTAGAGGTCTCAGCCAAGCTGAAAGGGCCTGCCCAGCAGAGGGGGCCCCACAGGCACGGGGCAGGGGTGGGGGCTGAGGGCAGAGAGGGGCTGCTGTCCTGGTCACACCCCAGCTGTGTACAAGCACATGCCCTAGATCCTCAAGTCACACCACAGGGAGGAGAGGTGGACAAGGGTTTCTCCCCTGAAGCGTGAGGAAGGATGGTCCAGAGGGAACCACATGTGGCCAGTAGCACATGGAGGCCAGTGGCAAGCTTAAGCTTAGGAACTGCACTGGCATGGGACTTAGGGGACAAGCATACAGTGGCACTCGCTGGTGATGCTTCCTCCAGGAGAGGCCATTTTTATGATCCTGATGTTCTTCAAGGCATCATGACCCTTCCCAGAGCCACACTGCTCTGAGCTGCGCTGGCACTACAGGGGACCCTGCCCCACTGGGCACAGTAACAGACCTTTGCACAGCCTTTCTCCCTGTCCCCTTCCACCTTCTGCAGAGCTTTAGAAAAGAATCTGCTCTCTTCACAGGCCACCCCCTACAGAGGGGAATCTAGGTGCCCACTCCAGGTGAGCAGTAAGTGGCCCAGTTCCCTGTGGGGATTGAAGGGCCATTAAGAGCAAATGGGCCGGCCCTGGGCAGGGTTTCATTCTGCCTCCAAGGTCCTGGGTCACACCTACATTGTACCATACGGCTGGCAGGCCTGTGGTCTGTGTGGGGTCTGGCTTGTGCCTGCAAGTGATAGGAAAACACTCCTGGCCCATGACGAGGCACTGCCAGGGCACTCAAGGAGGTAGGACATCTTGTGAATGGGAAGGAAGACAAGCAGTTTGAGCTCCAGCCCAGCCTCCCCTAACTTGCCATGGGATCCTTAGCCACTCAACTCCCTCTGGGCAGTCCTCCTGCCTCAGACCCAGTAAACATTGCTGAGGTTTGCAATGTGGTAGGCGCTGGGATGAGCACTTTACATGTATAATCTCATTTAATCCTCAGTGGAGCCCTGTGCTCCGGGTCCTATTAGTATCCTCTTTGACAGCTGTGTAAACAGAAGCTCAGAGAGTCAAAGTAACTTGGCTGAAGTCACACAGCTAAGGAGTGTCCAAAACAAGATCCAAACCCAGTTTCTAAATTCCTTCCTCCACATTTTATTGCCTCCTCCCTTTCTGTTTCCCTCTCTCTTTCCCTGCCTTCCTGCCTCCTTCTTTCCTTTAATGCATTTTTATTGAGTATTTAAGTGGGCAGGGCACTGAGTCAGGTGCATGAGATACAGACAGCAGCAAGAGAGACACTGTCCCTGCCATCCTATAGCTAACAGTTCCGTGGGGGAGATGTGCTTTTCAATAATCACTTGAATAATTAACAAATTGCCTTATAATAAGTGCTGTGAGAAGATGATTCTCAGGACCCTGAGGAGTCTCAGAATAACTTCAGAAACTTCACCCAGGTTGAAGGTCAAAGACAGCTTTCCTAAGAAAGAGACTTTTAGATTGAAGCCTGAAGGATGAGGATTTCACTAAGAGAAAACAGCAGGGGGTGGGGTGGGGAAAAGCCTCTGGACATGCAAGAATAGCATGTGCAAAGGCCCTGAGGCAGAGAAGTCCTTGCTATGTCTACAGAACTGGGGGAAGGGCAGGAAGGCACCAGCAGCTGAAGAGTGGAAGAACTGGCATTGGGACCAGATCCCCCAGCAAGCTTTCCTCTCTGTCACTGCTACCTATTTCAAATGCATTTCTTCTTGCCTTTAGCCTGCTCTTAAACATGCACATACATGGTATAATGGAGACCCAGGCAGGAATAAGCTTCCATGCTGCCATTGTTATAGAGGCACCAGGGTGTAGATGCAAAGATGTTAGGAGCTCTTCCCTTCAGTACACCACCCCTCCTTCTTCCCCTCCTGGTCACCCGTTGCAACCATAAAGTAGCCCACAGCCCTCTCCCCAGGAGCAATAATAATGGTTACCCACTAGACACAGTTCTGTAATCCTTATAACAGAATTATCCCCTTACAAGAGGGAAAATTGAGGCACAGAGTGGCTAAGTACATCGCCTAAAACCACATAGCTCCTAAACGCAAGAACTGAGATTCAGACCCATGTGGCAGGGTCTTAACCCTCAGCCATGACTCCTCCTTGCTGCTAACATTCTTTGTCCTGAAGGAAAGGACCTTCCATAAGCTTCCCTTCCTCCCCTCACTCTGCCCACACTGTCCCTCTGCCCCACCAACTCGACCCCTGTGAGCCTTCCCTGCCTGCTGGGGATCAGAGCTAACTCCGGGAAAGGGCAAGGCCATCCATCTCCCAGAAACCCACATCAGTGGGACACATCCCCTATCTGTCTCACCATCCATCAAAACCTGACAGGCCACAGAGCCATTAAACCCCCATTTGTTTGGCATAGGGACTGAGCCATTAATCCCCACTGCTGTTGGGCATGGTTATCCTGGTCTGCCCGCACATCATCTGTCCGGCTCCTGATCCCTCCCTCCATAGGGAGTTTCTCCTCTGCCGACTGCCTGACTCGGCACTGGGGCTCATCGCCTATTCCCACTCCCATGTCTTTGGCTGTCAAAGAGGTCACCTCTGTCCCACCCACCACCTCACAGTATCTCCAAGTACCTGAAATAAAGAGTTGAGAGGGTGCATGTGGGGTCCCAGCTCAGGAGCAGCACAAGGGTCCTGAATTCAAATCCCACACTATTGTCCACAGGGCTGTCCCAGGGTGTGGGGCACAGGCTCTTAGAACAGTGCCTGCGTGCAGGACGCACATGAGCCCCTTCACCGTGATTTGGTGGTGGCTAGAGGAGGGCTGGTGGCCGAGGACTGAGCACATTGCCCACGACCAAGACTCTGCCCAGCTGGAGCTAGTTAGTCACCATGTGTCCTCAAGCCTCTGAATAAACTAAGAGAAGTCCAGGTTTTTATTTGCACTGTTCTTGCTCTTAAGTGTTGGCAACTGATTAAAATAAAACTAAAAAGCCAGAAAGCCATGTGATAAAAACAAAATACCTGTACTGACCGTGGTTGTCCCATGAGCCATTGTGGGGATATCTGTACTCTATCCTCCAAGTCTCTGCTGTCCTATACCTGTTCACTTTCTCAGCCCCTCTCCCATCACACTGCTCCCTTTCCTGTCATCTTTGGCCTGGCCCCTAGTTCCTTGCCCAATGAACCCTCTGCTGCAGAACTTAATGTTAAACCCTCTCACCAGCCAGCTGGGCTGGGGGCTCCATGGATTGTCCCAACAGCCACTTGCCCGCTCCCAGTGACCCTCCTAGAGTTTCCCAATTTGGAGATTGGTCCAGTAAGCAAATCGAGGTCAGAAGCAAGACCCTTCTCCTCCACCCTCAGCATCCTGAGGTCCTGCCTAGATGGATCTGCCCCTGGGGATCCTGAATTCTTTAGGCCCGAAAGAGACTGATATAGCAGATAGGTCTTTGCAAGCTCCCAGGATGGTAGCTGGAAGGGATCTCGGGGACCCAGGCAGGGGTACTGCTTATGGTTCTAGCCAAGTCTAGAAGCCTCCTGAGGGCTGGCCTGGTTCAGAGAGTAGGGTAGAATGGAAAAAGCTAGACCTCGGTGGTCGGGCAAACCCCAGCTCATGTCCTAGTTCCGCCATTCACTGAGCCACAGGCCCTCCCAGCTAGGAGAGGCCATGGCATCTTCCTTAGGGCCAGCGTGAGTTCAGAGCTCAGTACACCCCTAAAATCCCCCCTCAGAGTGATCTTCAACACAGCGATTTGTGGGCATAAGGCTCCCCCCGCACGAAGCCTGTGCAGTCTCCTGAGAGAGACTGAGAGAGATGCTGGGCCCTCCTGAGAACAAGGGTCTGCCCAGACCCCAGCCCCTTTCTTAGCCCTGTGAACTTGGCAAGGCAACCTTGAAGGAAACCGTAAGACCCCTAATGTTCCTCAGAGAAGCCCAGAACAGGCTTAAGTGGCCAGCTTCCTGCTTCCTCTCTTTTGCTTAAGGCTTCTCTAAAGTCCGTAGTGTTTGTGGCCCTGGCCTGGCCTGCTGTGTCCTTAGAAGCCCTTCTGGTTTAGTGGGCTTCATCCCCGGGACGTGGAGGTAGAAGCAGAATGTGCTGGTCTCCCAGAGACCTGTGTGGACCAGGCAGGGTGTCCATTGTAGCCGAAACACCTGTCACCTAGTGCAGCCTCCTAGGTTGCAGGCCCATGAGATGACAGTGGTTGGAGGAATGAGTGAAGGGCAGCACCTGTTCTTCATCATAGCCCCAACAGGAGCCAGGGCGTGCCTAGTTGTGCCCACTGCTGGGTGAAGCTGAGACTTGGTAAATAAGGCCACACAGCCTTGAATGTGTCAGGCATAGGAAGACTCGGCCATGGCTGGCACACTGTAGCCTTCAAGCATGAGGCATTCTGTAAAGCCTGGGAAGCCTCAGTGTCTTCCCCAGTCCCCACCCTGGCGTGTGTCTCTGTCTGCCACTGACCTGTATGTGTTTCCTCCCACGCAGGGTCTGACAGGCCCCCGAGGACAGCCGGTTGGTACCCGTCTTACTATTCTCCAGAGAAGCTTCAGCCGCTGGGCCCTTAGCTTTGGTTTCTAACTCTCTCATCTCTATCTCTTTATAGGGACCTCAAGGACAAAAAGGAGAAAAGGTAGGAAGAATGGAATCTCCATCTTGGGGAAACAGCCTCCCAACCAGTAGAAAGGCGCTCCATGGTGGTTATCTTCAAATTTTAGTTTGTGATAACAGAGCCAGGGAAGCCCCTATGGGGCTGTGGCATGTAGGACAGATTCAGGGGAAGATACTCTGGGTATTCTTGGGCTAAGCCTGGCCCTCTTTAGCCTCTCTTTCCGCCCCTTCTAGAGGTCACCCCCCTAGTGTTCCCTGATCCTCCTCCATGAACTTCTGGGATTTTGACATGTTAATCCGTAAACCACTAGCCTGGCCTCTTCCTGGCCTCCTGTATTCTCTGTCTTGTTGAATTTCTAATGGAGACTGCTGGGCTTGCCCCGCACTGTCCACAGCTGCTTCCATCCAGGGGTCCTGTCCAGGGGCTGAGGGTTTCTTCCCTGTGGCTAGCCAGGGCCAACAGAAGGAATTGGTTCTGCTGCTTCAGAGGGCTCAGACCAGAGCCAGAGCAGCAGGGTTATGGGTGATGAGATAATGTGGTGTGTCATTAATTCCTGGGGTGCCATTAAGGGGTAGGTCTCCACAATAAGTGCCTGACACCCCCTTCTCCTTCTCTCTCATTCCCAGGGGCAGTGTGGAGAGTACCCACACCGGGTAAGTGAACCCCTAAAACTTAGCAGGGCCCTTTCACCCATCCTAGGGACACAGCCCCTGGCCCAGCCTTGTCTCCTGGGGGCCTCCAGGACCTAACAGAGCTCAGAGAACAGGAGCAAACAGCCTCCTCTGCACTCAGCAGTCAGAGAGGTGGTGTGGGGGTGGTGGTGTGTCTGGCTGGCACAGCCAACTGTGTCCCCAGGCCGTGTGCCTGTGGGTCGTATGGGCTCCTTTACGGAGCGTGCCTTTGCATACCTGCCCTGTGGCTGTCTGGGTGAGCTTGGGGGCTCATGAACTGTGTGCATCTGAGCTCTGGGCTCCCCTGCACATGGTCCTCTCTGTCTGAACACGCGGCTCTGTGCGTCCGTGCGTCTGACTCCCCACCCACCGGGCATGCGTGTGCGTGACCATATGTGTGTGTCTGGTGGCCTGCCTCAGACGACTAAGAGGGACTTTTGGATTAGTCATTGTTTTAGCTGACCCAGATTTTGATGATGGGAGATAATCAAGGGCTGGCCATATCAATTGAAGGATAAAGTCTCTATTTTGCCTCTTTAAGAACAAAAGAAGCCCTTCTCCAGACAGGAGCGGGGTGGATTTCAGGGCTGAGAATACTGTCCCCCCAGCTGCAGCCTTCCTTTACTTTGCTCCATCCCAAAATACAGAACTCAAAAGACCACAGGGCTCCTTCCATGTTGGAGCAGGGGTGGGTACAAGCCCCAGTGAGCTGGGACCAGAAAAACACCCCCTCACTTTGCAGATCAGCCTTATTGCTCCCAGACCTGGGCACCAGGAACAGGGAGGATGGCATGTTCAAGTGTCCATCTCTTCTGTCATAGGCCTCATGGTCCCCAGCAGCATGCCACATGGTGTGGCTCCCCTGGCTGCCCACCCCTCCAGGCAGGTCCTGGTGGTAGGATGTAGGGAGTGGAGACAGACACAAACCAGTCTCAGTCAACCTGACCCTGGAAGGCCATTGGGAGGGCCTTGCTGGCAGGGCCTGGCCTCTGCTCAGCCACTCAGGGGGCTGGATACATGCCTGGCTCCAACATGAGAGGCTGGGATGGGTCTGAGTCCAGGTTGGGATGGGCTGGGGAATGCAGGCTGGCAGTAGCACAATCAGAGCCGGCCTGTCAGTGGCATGTGCTCCAGGGATGCAGGGGCCCTGGCGTTCTGGCCAGCCTGAGCCTGATACAATAATAGAAGGTCAGCTGTGTTTATTTAAAACGATGGGCTCACAGGATTGTCATGTTACCCAAAAGAAAGAGAGCATCCCCCAGCACAATGGACAGCTTCAGCAGTGTGTCATGGGTCCTTAATGAGTGCTTCGGGTCAGGAAGGAGAGGGATTTCTGCCCCTCCACCCAACATAAGAGGAGGGAAGGGCTCTGTGACTGAAGGCTCCAGAAGCACCCTGCCACGGTACAGAGAAGCCCAGCGTTATGACCACTGCGCTCTGGAGAGCACATCAGGCAGGGGAAGCCGGTGGGCACAGCAGGTTTATAGAGGGGCTAGGAAAGCAGGGGACTTCTGGCAGTCTGTTGGCTTTCCAAGGGACCTACAGGCAGGGTGGGGGTGGCAGGTCTCAAAGCCAGAGGACACCAAGAAATCGGATGGTTCCCCCTCTGTTCCTGCAGCCTCCCCAGGGAGGGAGGGAGGGTTGCGGGGGCTGATGTCTGTGGACTCTCCCTTCACTCTCCCCATGCCCCTCCATCCCACCTGAACCAGGAGTACCTAAGCAGCATGCCAGCAGCCCTGCGCTCCAGCCAGATAATTACCCTGAAGGTTTGTAGGTTCTTGAGGGTTGCCAAGCCCCTTCCTGCCGAGAGGCTACCCAGATGCAGAGCCCACCAATGCACATCCCCAGGCCCTTGGGTAACAGCCCAAAAAGGTGGCAAAGGCCAAAGTTGGGCTCCCAAGTCCCCAGCTGGCCACATTTGCAGCCCAGGCAGCTCCCGGTTCCTAATGCTTATTCCAGGGGCCTCATGTGAGTTAAAGTGCTTTCAAAAACAAGTGGCTGATTACAGTCCATGCTATCTTTGTTTTCACTTGGGTTCTAACCACTTCCTAAAGCCACAGCCTACTCAGCTTCAACAGGGAGAGAGAATGGAAGCGACAAGAATTTCCAGAAATGAAAGTCGCATTAGATAATGTGATTGCAAGTTGCCTCCCCCCAAAAAGTGGTTGAAATTTCCGGAGACATCTTTGCTCAGCCCCTATTTTCCAGGCCCTCCAGCCCCAGGGTGAGCCCTCAGTAGCACTTAGCATGTGCCCACACTGGCCGCACCCTCAGCCAGCCCAGCCCCTGGGAGCCGGGCTTGGCACTGGCTTTGACCATCCTCCCCAGATTCGCTGACACCAGTCTTTCTCGTTCAACCAAAAAAGAACCCAAAGGTCGCCACACATCAGCCTGGCTTCAAGTACCAATTTAGCTGGTCCTGTGGCTCCCTAGCCAGAGCCTCTGAGTCTGCTGCCCTCTGTCCAGCAAGCAGGGACAGGAGGGGCCGGCAGTGCAATGTTGGGCTGTGTGTCTGGCAGCCTCTGGCTCTGCATGGCCAGGAGAGCAAGCCCAATGGAGGGGGGCCACGCTTCCATTCCAGGGGGCTGCTCGTCAATACCTGGACCTCGGACCTAGAGGCTGAGGCAGGGTGCGGATGGAGGGCCATTCCTCCTTCCAGGGCCTGGCTGTGCCATCCTGCAAGCTCAGCACTGTGCCCCTCAACTATAGAGTACCCTGTCCATGCCTTCCCTCCTGGTCCTCCTGCCCACGCTAATCTCTCTTCTCTCTTCCTCTCCTCCCGTCCTTCTTGGCTGCCTTGCCTTCCTGGTGACCTTTGGCATCGTTCTGAACACCTGCGATCTTTGGCCTTTGCCCTCTGGCCTTCCAACTCATCTTTCTCCTCAGCTGCTGCCTCTCCTCAATTCAGTGCGACTGGCGCCACCCCCAGTCATAAAAAGGAGGACCTTCCAGGTAGACACCTTCCGTTTGCCCGGACCGAGGGTGGCTTTCCCCAGGGGCTCAGCAAGTCTCTGGGCACCGGCAGGCCGGCTAAGGCTATAGAGAAAGCCAGACTCTTGCTCTGATTCCATGGAACTGAATTAGACAAAACTGAATCAGACCCAGGCCCCAGGAGCTCCACAGTTACCACCACACCATTGCCACTCATAACTGCTGTCATTGTACACCAGGCACCATGTCACCCATTTTACAGGCCTGCTTTTATTCAGTTCTCTCAATGGTTTTATGAATTAGGCAAGATCATCCTTTTTTACACATGAGGAAATCAAGGCTCAAGTGTAGCCCAAAGTCACACAGCCAGTAAATGGCAGAGCAGAGATTTGCACCCAGTTTCTCTGCCTGTTACTAGCTGTGAGATTTGGAACAAGCTACTTAACCTCTCCATGCCCCCAGCTTTCCCTTCTCTAAAATAAGAATGAATACTTTCTAGGCTGGTTGTTATATACATATAGATTGTACATGCGCTTGAAATAGTTCTTGGCACCATTTAAGTGCTATCATTAATGTTAGCTGTCATTATTACTGTTACCCATATTTTGGAGATAAGGAAATTGAGGCTCAGAGAAGTGAATCGATTTGCCCAAGTTCACACAAACAGCAAGAGGCAGAGGTGGAACTGGCAGGCAGGGCTTCAGACCTCACATCCAGGGCTCTCTCAGTTGGACCTATACCCTAAATACATACACTTAGAAATGCAGACTGCTCAGCATCTGATCCCTGTGTGCAGAGTTTGAGGAGAGAGGGTCTTTGCAGAAGGAATGTATGTGGTCCACATCCAACAGGGGTACTCCCCACGAGCAGCTGCTTCCGTCTCCTGCCTGCTCACCTAAAGAGGCTGGGACCAGAGCAGATCCGGAGAACAAAGCAATCTTACCTGCTCTCCATCAGCTCCCATCTGGGGTCCAGGCCAGGTGGCAGTGCCACCTTCATGCCCTTTGCCTTCCTTACACTGCACAGGGCATACCCCCAAGCAATAGAGAAGCTGGGAATGGCAGGGCCCTGAGCTGCTCTGAATGCCTGACAGCAGGGACTCGTGCTACCATCCTGACTCAGGTGTCAGGAGCCCAAGGGCCTGGATGTTTAGGCTTCTGAATGAACAGGCTGAAACATCACTCCAATTGACAGCTAAAAATACAGTGAATGCAACGCTACCTAAGCCTGCATGCTTCATATTATATTACCAGGCTAAATCCTCGAGAACACTCCGAATGCTCACGCACAGCACGGCTACTCAGGAGGCGCCCGGCAGCTCAGAGAAGCACCAGGCCCACCCCACTGTCACCCACACCTGCCTGTGGTAGACCCATCTAGGGGAGCTGAGTCCACACTGTCAGAGCAGCTATTCTCCTGGACCCCAACACCTACCTCCTGGCCTTAGTTGTATTTGCTGCTCTGTACCCAGGCCCCACAGGGTCCCAGGCACTGTGATGAGAATTCTACATGGATTATCTCATGCATTCCTTCCGGGTCACCCTCATCAGCCCCACTTTGCAGAGGAAGAACTTGAGAGGGGTCCAGAATTCAATTCAGGCTGCTGCATGTTACTGCCTCCCTCTTCAAAAGCAAAAGGGTGGTGAAGCCAGGACTTTCTGTGCTGCACAGACCTGGTTTCCAAAGTAAGGAAAGAAGACTAGGGGCCCTAGGCTGCCTGCCACATTTTGCCTGAAGAATGAGGTTTTTAATGCTGTCAGCCCTCATGGGACATAAAAATGCTTGTCCATTTCCTATCAATAAACCAATATTGATTTTACAGACTCTTCAGGATGCTTACACGTTAGGTGTAAGATTAGTTGAAAGAGGAAACTTTGAGATGTGATATGCTTAGGGGATGGATTAGAGGTCATTTCCAAAGTGCAGAAAGTTGGACGGTGAGCCCTTTTTGCTGGGGGCTTATTTGGAATGAGCAGGGCCAGAGTCTAGAGTTCTGAGCTTGGGTCCTGGCTCCACCCTGAATTCCCCAGGTGACTGTGGTCAGGGGGCTAAACTTCTCTGGTTCTCAGTTTTCTTTTCTGTAACATGGGACTTGTGACATTGTGAAGATTCTAGAATTTCACAGTCAGAAAGGACCTCAGGGGTTCGTTTCAGACTGAGCTTTTCTTGCCTCATGAATCATCCTTCCCCCAAAATGTAGAAACTTCATGAAGAATATAAAGAAGTGAAGGATCCTGAGGACGTTCAGAGCACAAGGGGCTTAATCAGATTTAGTCTGGCTGAAGAAGGCCACAAGGCAGGGCGGTGCCTGTGGCTCAAAGGAGTAGGTTGCAGCCCCATATGCCAGAGGTGGCGGATTCAAACCCAGCCCTGGCCAGAAACTGCAAAAAGAAAAAAAGAAGGCCACAGTGCTCCTTCTTGAAGCCTGAAGTTTAGTTAAGCCTTTCTTGGTTCAGGAAAGACATTGCCACCTAGAAATCTATCAACAACCAACATGCTGCTAGGCAGAGGGGCTGGAAGCAGGGAGGTCACCCAAAGCAATTTTTGCACCTGCCTCCTCTTCCATGGTCTGAGCCCAAAAGTGACTTCTCCAAGGGTGTGGCAGAATAAGGCCCAGGCCCCAGAGTGATGCTCCTGTGTGCCATTTGCTCCAGGATGTTCCAGCCAAGCAGGTGTTGCTAAAATCTTACATTTTTCCTACGCTGATTGTGCACACCTGTTTATAATCACCACTTCCCTCTAGAGTTTGCAGAAAGCATCTTCAGCCCCCTTCTTCACTTGCGGAGCAGGAGACCCAGAGTGTCATGGGCGTTTGCTAAGATCACCCTGAGAAAGGTGGGCTGGCCTGGAACTCTGGCCACCTGTGTCCCTGTGCATCTGGCCTGGAGCTCTGCACCCCCTGCCAGGGGGTTTGCTTTCTTATAGATGGGCCACTCCTTATAAGAGCTCATCCCATCTTGTTCCTGAAAAGGTCATTTAGAAAATGACATAATGGGAGGCCAGGTGCAGTGGCTCACACCTAGTGTAATCCTAGCACTGTGGAAGGCCGACGTGGGTGGATTGCCTGAGCTCAGGAGTTCGAGACCAGCCTGAACCAGAGCAAGACCCTGTCTCTTAAAATTACCAGGCGTTGTGGCAGGCGCCTATAGTCCCAGCTACTCAGGAGGCTGAGGCAAGAGAATCACTTGAGTCCAAGAGACTGGTTGCTGTGAGCTGTGACACCATGGCACTCTACCAAGGGTGACAAAGTAAGACTCTTATCTCAAAAAAAAAAAAAAAGAGAGAGAGAGAATGACATAATGGCATTTGTTTATATCCTGGATAACTCTGCCTTGCCCTCAGCCCCCAAATCTAGGTCACATGGACCAGACTCTCTGAGGAAAAGCAATGCCTCTCCCCTCTCCCTGGGTCACAGTCCATCCTGGGGACAGGCACAGTGGGAGGTGAGGCTGGGCTCAGAGCAGCTAAGGAGTCAGGTGGGTTAGGGGAATAACTACAGCAACCCTTACAGCATAAAGCACCTTTTAGTTCCCAAACTTCAGGCAGGTCAAAGGTTGAAAACTCAACTGGAGACCTGCAGGTGGCCAGGCAGATGACCTGAGTGACGGAGCAGGCTGCATGTAAGAAGGCCTGGAGACAGCAGGGGGACCAAAGCAGAGAACTTGGTGGACCCAGGAACGTGGGCCCAGCATTGCCAGAGTTCCCAGTGTTTTATCAGAAGCCAACAATCCAAATTTTTTACACCAAACCTCTTGTTCAGTTGTTCAGTGAACTAAACAAATTCCATGGCCTCCAACCGAAGGCTCTCTTCCGATCTTCCAGGCCAGATAATCAAAGAGAGCAAAAAGCTGAGACAGGAAATGGAAAACTGTTGCTCCCATTCCACACTTCAGAGAGATAATGTGACTTGCCACCTCAAAAGAGTGTGACAGAAGTAGGCGCAGCCCGCAGACCACATGGGCTGGACTCTGGCCACTGGCCAGTCTGGGGGCAGGCCTCTGGTCAGGGCAAAAGGGCCTCACCCTGCACCTCTGCCACCCGCACCAGGACTTTGTGCCCTGGGGACCAGCAAGTCCTCTCTGGAAGCCCCACCTCCTGGGGACCTACTGTCTTGGCCATCTTCTCACTGCTGCCAGCCCCTGCATGTAGTCACCACCACCATGGCATCATCACCATCACGCCACCACTCCTCCGTCACCACCACCTTCTCAGCAAAGCCCATGGCAGAGCCTTCACTGGGTGCATGGCCTGGGGGTGGGAGCTGGTCTACAGCTTCAAAGATCTTCTCTCTAACACTGGTTTTCATGAACTTCAGGGTGAACAGGGCCAGACCGGCATCCAAGGTCCACCAGGGCCCCCAGGCCCCCCTGGACCGAGTGGACCTCTGGGGCACCCAGGACTGCCAGGGCCCATGGGCTCACCCGTAAGTATTCTATTCCTCTCTCCAAGATTTGTCCCAACAACTCTAGAAGCCTCTGAAGCTTGAATAAGCAAGAGGAACCTAGGTCCCTACCAAAGAGCAGAAACACTGTGGGAAGGCCATGGGAGCTGCACTCTACTCTGAAAACCACCCCTGGGCCACATCCACTCACTCACAGGGCCACATCCACACACCCCTGGGCCACATCCACATACCCCTGGGCCACATCCACTCACTCACAGGGCCACATCCACACACCCC